CAAGGCTACAGTAACCAAAACAGCATGGTACTGGTACCAAAACAAATATATAGACCAATGGAGCAGAACAGAGACCTCAGAAATTACACCACACATCTACAACCATCTGATCTTCAACAAACCTGACAAAAACAAGCAATGAGAAAAGGATCTCCTATTTAGTAAATGGTGCTGGGAAAACTGGCTAGCCATATGCAGAAAGTTGAAACTGGGCCCATTCCTTACACCTTATACAAAATTTAACCCAAGATGGATTAAACCCTTAAATGTAAAACCCAAAATCATAAAAACCCTAGAAGAAAACCTAGGCAATATCATTCAGGACATAGGCATGGGCAAAGACTTCATGACTAAAACACCAAAAGCAATTGCAACAAAAGCCAAAATAAACAAATGGGACCTAACTAAACTAAAGAGCTTCTGCACAGCAAAAGAAACTATCATCAGAGTGAACAGACAACCTACAGAATGGGAGAAAATTTTTGCAATCTATCCATCTGACAAAGGGCTAATATCCAAAATGTACAAGGAACTTAAACATATTTACAAGAAAAAGACAAACAACTCCATCAAAAAGTCGGTAAAAGACATGAACAGACACTTCTCAAAAAACACATTTACGCAGCCAATAAACATATGAAAAAAGCTCAACATCACTGATCATCAGAGGAGTGCAAATCAAAACTACAATGAGATACCATCTCATGCCAATCAAAATGGCGATTATTAAAAAGTCAGGAAACAATAGATGCTGACGAGGCTGTGGAGAAATAGGAACACTTTTACACTGTCAGTGGGAAAGTAAATTATTTCAACCATTGTGGAAGACAGTATGGCGATTCCTCAAGGATCTAGAACCAGAAATACCACTTGACCCAGTAATCCCATTATTGAGTATATACCCAAAGGAATATAAATCATTGTGCTATAAAGACAAATGCACACATATGTTTATTGCAGCACTATTTACAATAACAAAGACATGGAACAAGTCAATCCATCAGTGATAAACCGGATAAAGAAAATGTGGTATGTATACACCACGGAATACTATGCAGCCATAAGAAGGAATGAGATCATGTCCTTTGCAGGGACGTGGATGAAGCTGGAAACCATCATCCTCAGCAAACTAACACAGGAACAGAAAACCAAACACGGCATGTTCTCACTCATAAGTGGGAGTTGAACATTGAGAACACATGGATACAGAGAGGGGAACAACACACACCAGGGCTTGTTGAGGGATAGGAGCTGAGGGGAGGGAACTTAGAGGACAGGTCAATAGGTGCAGCAAACCACCATGGTACATGTATACCTATGTAATAAACCTACACGTTCTGCACATGTATCCCATTTTTTAAGAAGAAATTTTTAAAAAAGAAATTTTCAGAAATATTCTAATATGATTAAATATTTTTAAATGAGCATTTGAAGTTTTTATTAGTGATGGATTTCATGAATTAGTGATAAGATTAACAATATGTCTCAATTTGGCACAAAATAAGTGATAAATGAAAATAAAGAAAATTATTGTAAGTTTTGGAGCATTTTCCCTCCATTCTTTTTTTTTAATTTTTAATTTTTAGTTCTGGGGTACATGTGCAGGACATGAAGTTTTGTTACATGGGTAAACATGTTCCATGGTGGTTTACTAAACCTAGCAATCCATCACCTAGGTATTAAGCCCACATGCATTAGCTATTTTTCTAATGCACTCTCTCCCCCTACCTGGGGGAGAGGTCCCAGCGTGTGTTATTCCCCTCCTTGTGTCCATGCGTTCTCATTTTTCAGCTCCCACTTGTAAGTAAGAACACGCAGTGTTTAGTTTTCTGTTCCTGCATTAGTTTGCTGAGGATAACGGCTTCCAGCTTCATCCATATCCCTGCAAAAGACATGATCTCACTCCTTTTTATGGCTGCATAGTATGCCATGGTGTATATGTACCACATTTTCTTCATCCAGTCTAATGTTGATGGGCATTTGCATTGATTCCAAATGATTCCTTATTGTGAATAGTACTACAGTGAACATACGTGTGCATGTATATTTGTAACAGAATGATGTATATTCCTTTGGGTATATACCTAGTAATGTAATTTCTGGGTCAAATGGTATTTCTTGTTCTAGATCTTTGTTCCCTCCATTCTTATAGAGCTCAACTCAAAGTTAAGTTATATCTTTCAGAACACTAGTTAATTTTTAATGAACTTCGTATATTTTTCATTTTAGTATCTCAAATATAGTAGCCAATAAATATTTTTTGAACATTCAGTAACACTATTTTCATACAGTTATCACCACAAAATTGTCATAGCTAGACATGAAATAAGGATACTGAAAGAAGAAATAACTTTGCCCAGTTCAGGATCCAGCCAAACCCAGCCAGCATTATTTCATTACTGCCTGCAAGGTCTCCTACATTTTCTCAATTTCTTCATTCAAGTTCTAGAAATAATAATGTACTGCTTTTAAAGAACAATTTCATGTATCTCTAGGATTAGTGAAATAAGTGATAAGAAAGAAACTGAAACACAGAGTTTCTGAGTGTTGAGTATGTTAGTACTTACCTTTTGTCTTAAAGCTTTCTGGAAGTGAGGTACTATTTTCTCCTGTCTTATAAACCACCACTACTCTGACATTATATGAAGTATGAGGTTGTAGATTTGTGATATTACAGACATAAGCAGGACCTTGGCTGCATGAAGTTTTAACACGGTAAAACTCATTGTATTTCCACTAGAAAAAGAAGTTTCAATTAATATTTTTGTTTCTCTAAGAAAATATTCTCAAAACACAAAAATGTATAGGCTTATAGCAAGTGATTAAAATTCAAGCATTCTTTTCTATTAAAGAATAAGAACTTCTTTATGAATGATCCCAAACATTACCCCACTGCCTATAGTCGTTTTGCTTCTTATGATAAGAAATAACTGACTTACATGACCGTTCATGGGAGAAGCTCAAGGTGGGACATACACCTCTGACTATATATCATTGAGGAAGATTCAGAGCTACCGCTTCTTGTTATCCCAAAGGGTAGATACCTACATTTAATCAGGATGGCGAAGAATGCAAATCCACAGCTGTGGAACAACGATGGATCAAAACAACGGTACTTTCAGATCCCAGGGATATGTTAATTTCATAGCAATAATATTTTCACATGTTTTGATTACATGTAATCTTTGATAAAGAAGTCCACAGTGACTTACAAACTAAGACATTTTTTTTCCTCCTAACACCCTCTTCAGACATGTAACCAGAATTCTTTATTTTTATACACTGGAAACCTACATAGCCAAAAGAAGAAAATTTTTGCCCACTATTATGAAGCTACTAAGTAGCAAAGCTAGAAACTAAATACAGAAAATCTTGTTTTCATTCCACTTTAGATATTGGGCCTCTAATTATAGTTATCTGAACTTTCTTGCTCTGTGATATTGCTTTTTAAAAACTTGTATATTTGGATCCTTAGTATCATTATTTGAAAATGATAATTTCTTAACATACAAATAGGAAAAGACAAAAAGATACGGCACTTTGTCAAGGGCTCTTGATATATTTTCCCTCGTAGAGTTTCATGAAAAGGTCAGTTTCCATAAATAAACTTAAATTATATCTTCTTTTTCACTTAACACTCATGAGGTCACATCATTTCATTAAATGGACACTTTATATTAGTTTTCTATTCAGTAAGGAATGATTCTCTACAGCATTTTCACTCAGTAGACCACTATGTACAATAAGAAAGGGGAATAAGGGAATGGAAGGAATTAAAACTTAAAAAATAGAACTGCTGATGTCAGGAACATTGCCTGCACTAAACTCATAAATGTATCAATCCTGCTGAGACATATAGCTTAATAGCTTAATGAAACAGGTGCATTGAATCCATAATATTTACTGTGAACCTCAGAGAGAGAGAAATTAATTCCTGGCCAAAAAAAAAAGATGGCTTAACTCTTTTTGGTTCTCTCTCCTTCATGATCTGGTGGAGAAATTACCTATAGTGAATAGTCTAGCTGACCCAACATTCCAAACCATCAAGAAATTTTCAGAGCTCCTTGAAGTGTCAGCAGATGTTTGACCAAGGGTACCGCTGGAAAACGGTAGAGTGTTGGCATCACCATAGCAATGAATGTCTGGGCAGACCACCAACCTGGAGAGGTGCCACAGCATATCCCAGTAAATCACAAGGGTGTCAGGACTTTCCATTTGTCAGAGGCCGACAAGTGCAGGAATGGAGGCTACCACAGGGGGATTTTCAAATTATTTGGGTGGCAGTGAGAGGGAGCGTCAGCTAAGATGTCTGAGAGTTTGGAACTTCAGAAACTTGTGGTTCGATAGGGATTTGCCTGAACTGCTGCGAAAAACACAATTTTAATGGGCTTCCATGAAAAAATTACCAAACAAAATTACGTGTTTCCTCACCATTTTAAATATGTTCTTCTTCTGTACACTGTTGTGAGTTGCTTATATTATGTAGAATTTAAGATCTAGATCAAGCTTGTCCAACTTTCAGCTTGTGGACCACATGTGGCCCAGGACAATTTTGAATGTAGCCCAACCCAAATTCGTAATATTTCTTTAAACATTATGATTTTTTAAGGGAATTTTGTTGAGCTCATCAGCTATCATTAATGTTAGTGTATTTTACATGTGGCCCAAGACAGTTCTTTCAGTATGACCCAGGGAAGACAAAAGATTGGACACCCCTGATCTAGATAGAAACTTCACCTTGTGCTCCAGTTCCCTCATTTTTCAGATAAGGAAATTTTGACAGAAATGACAGAGAGCAAGTTTATCATTTTCTTCCTGTTTCCTTTCTTTAAAAATTGCTAATTAAAAAGACAAATATTCCCTCTTATTGCCCACTCCTCAGAGTTTCAGTGTGGAGTTACGGTATCATTCCCAGCTGTCCTGTCATTGTGAGATAGGTTCAAGTTGTTCAAAAGAGACAGCACTTTCTGACTAGATAGCGCTCATCAACCCTTGCAGAACCACAGACTTTCACTGTACTCATAGTTAGTGTTTGTAGACGGCCACTCATGTACAAATGACCCTATCTTGTATTTGCAGCTTCATCATTTTCTAAATGGTCTGCCTGGAACCTGTGTTGAGTAAGTGTGAAAACAGAGGAAGTTTAGAAATAAAAAACACTGCATGAAAGTCACGAGAACTGGACCAGGAGATCTCTGTCTGCTGTCCTTCTCCCCAAACTTTAAAGAGTGGGATGGATGACTTAATGACTCCTATTCCTTCCACAGACAACACCCTAATAGGACTGCTCTAGGGAGAAGTCAGCCCTAGGATTTTTCTCTGCCTGGCGACATCTGGCATCTGTCTAGGTCTCCATTTCTGATCAATAAAAGGGTAGGCTAGGGTGTCAATTATCTCTAAAGTCTTTTCCCATTCCATTTCTTTGATAATCTTGGAAATGAACTTTACATCCTTCCCCTTGACTTTAGACTGAACTGCGTTAAGGTTACTAAAATAGATGTCATTTTAAAAGGCACTCCTCCAATTTCTCCAATTTAACTGCATTTTTATAAGGTGGCAATTTTTTAAATAGGCAACAAATCATCAGAAACATGCTCAATGGAAAAAGTCCAATTAAACTGTGGCCTTTGAGTTTATTAACCCAAGATTCAGTGTTGTTCCACAGTTTTCATAGGTTTTATTTATAAAGTATAAGATCACAAAAATACCTTACATAATAATTTTTAAACATCCTGGGGAATAACTGCATTTTTAAGAAGTAGTGAGGCTATGATTA